ACTCGAATGACTTGAATTTCATGATCCTCACATCATACCTAAGTATATTATAGTATAATCTAAGTAGTTAATAGTTTTCTGGAAACTATTAACTACTTGAAGAATATAAGTATAATTTAAACTAGTTTCAGTTATGTTCCTAAACTATGTCATCAGTTTTGGAATCCAGCTTTAGCTTGAACACATAATATTTTTCAGAAAGAAATCTTGTCAGAATAAAGTATCAGCTTTTATTTATCTAATAACTCAAAGATATTTTATTATAAAAATTTTGCGCTAAGCATTTTTGTTTAAAGTCAAAGATAATCGTTATAGTAAAACTTTGAGTTATTACTTGTTTTGCATTTTTATCATGTGTCCGAACTTTTTGAATTTGAGACTGTGATCATGTGATTTTATGCGACTAGGTTGTATGCACTATATTATTACTTCATTTTTAAAGCACTGAAAGAACATAATATATACAAGTCATAAAGTAACTGATTAAATGTATATTAGATATTACGACATTACGGCATTCATTACGACAACAACATTCATTACAACATACGACATTGAGACATTTAGACTTTAGACAATTTGTCGCATCGCAATATTCGTTTGTTATTCACTTGGTTTAGCATAGATATTACCAAACAAAGAGAAATTATTTCTACTTACCTGACTATCTAAATTGCATGCAAAATTTCTTGAACACGTAAAAATATCACACCTATCCTGCTTCTACCATTGCTATTTTGCGAAAGATGATTATGTTATACGTCGTTTCAGAATTCCAAAATGACGTACGTCAATACGTGAATTCTGAAACGACGTATAACAAAAATTCGCGCAAATCGTAATTATTGCAAAGCATCATGCATGATCTATAAGATATCTTTATTTTCGCTAAACATATAAAATTTGACTTGTTATTTGCAAGGCCTTAGAGGCGAGATTTCGACTCATGATACAAAATAGATAATTCTTCGAAGAAATAAAGATTGACACTTTGCCTTCGATATGATATATATAGCGAAGTAGTTACATGGATGTCAACTTGGAGGACATTACATTGGCTAGTTAGTGTTTTTTCCATTCGTCTTTTTCCAGAGTAATGGGGTCACGACACCACCCGAACAACTTGTAAATATTTCGCGCCTTCACAGTTTTTTACGCAAACTTTCATTGTATATTTAGTTCCTTGTTTATGGATTATTGAATCTATTAACATTATCCATAATATCTTTTTGAATCTTTCTGCGAAGTGATACCAACACTGGATTTCTTCCTGATAGCCAGCTAAAGTCACGTGTGTTTATGCTCCTGATATAATCTGATCAATCGAATTCTCAGATCCCTCATTTTCATTAGTTTCAGTGGGCTCCCTTTAGTAGGCGTAGAGAGTTCTTGCAACAGACCTTGCAGTTTATCTTGCTCGCGGATGATTTGTGAGATGATTGGAATCCTCCGGATTTATGTCGAGATGCTCGGCTTGAGCATCGGTGGTGTTACCCATGACTGTTTGGCTTGATGACTGACCTTGTGTCGTTTCTGCTATTTGCAGTGGCGTTATTATCTTCACCTACTATGAGACTTGTTGACTGATCCTGCGTAGTAATGGTAGCAGTTGTAATGATAGCATTGTTTTGCTGTCAGTTACTAAACCCAAACTCCTCATAGGTTCCAAATCATTATCGTTATCTCTATAGTGTCAATACTTCGTTGGGTGATTTCGATTCCTGCGGGCACGTCGCCAAAGCCACCAGCAGATGTCAGATGCGATGCAAGCATCTGATAATCTTGTAAATAAGGAATCTTCGTATCCCCAAATTCGACCCAGAGGGTCGCGCATCATTGTCAGAATATTTTGATCCGGATTTGTCGATTCCTAATAGTTTCAATGAGTACAATGTACGCATTTTGCTTCATGCATTCGTAGCTTTTGTATCTGAGCGTTAGGATCTGAAGTATCCCATAAAAGAGACAAATTTCTTAGATAATTTAATGCGAGTGCTTTGAGGTGGATGGTTTCCATGTTGGCGAATTTTGTTGAGTTGATAGCACTAATGTGCCAGGATCAAAAAAATGTTATTAGATAGTTTTAAAATAGATAGACCAAAACATTTCTTTATACTTTAGAGATTCTTCAAAGTTTCATATATAAAGGGATTTTCCGGGTATTTGAAGTGTCCTCCAAATTCTCTAATTCCACTCGTAGAATGGCCAGCCGGTCTCTTTTGCCGAAAACATGCTTTATAACGGGTTTCTTTTTTTCCACTCCCAGATGTTCGTTTATGCTCAATTTTTATACAACGGGAACAATTTTGGGATTCGTCAGTGTCCCCGTTTTCCGGTTGATCGAATTGATCGGTGTTTAAAGCGACCGCGTCGTTAGAGGAGTGACAAATATTCTAGGGTGGAGGGGGATGGCCAAATCTCAGGTATTAATATAATCTCACGTGCATGTGAGGGATCCCTATAATAAAACGGATGTTAGCTAATATTTGCCGTTCCCCTTATCGGGTTCAAACCATGTTCTTATCCCTGTCGAACACGTTTTGTGAGGGAAAATCGATTTCGTATTTGGACACGACCAGTATGAATTACATGTGGTTTTTCTCGTTGTGGCGTCAACGATGATTAGACGAGAAAGAAAGAAAATAATTGCCAAGTTACAACAAAAAATGTTGGATAATGCATTTTTAGTTAATCTCTATGACTATTACAGTAATAACAATAATCTTGAAGCAAATTACAGTAATATAACAATAAGAAACTCGATTCTTGAAACAAAATAATCGTTTGCCTACTCAAACCCTTTTATACGAAATTTTTCCGCTTCAGCCCGATTCTAATACAAAACCAATTGAAAGAAAAACCTCAATAAAAAACGGCCACATGCTAACTGCACAACAACACAAAATCAATAAGAGGAGATGGAGGATGCCTTAATCTAGCAACTTTAATAATTGTGATGCTTTCGAGCTTTTCTCGAACATCTCATGCAAATGTTATGTAACGGTAGTATTGATGTGAGGAGCAAAATGTACACGTTTCAGAATATATCATGTGGTTCAACTAGATGCTAATGTACTTTTGACCACATTATTGTTATCCACTACAATTAAAGTTTTATTTCTTTAAATAGAAATGCTTGATTCCTTACTTTATGCTCCACGGAAATGAATCATTAAAATCCATATCGATATTTTTGTTTGATAACTAAAGCAGTTAATAAAAGAGGAAGTTAGCCCGAGAAACCAAAAATTTTTGCTGCCGTTTAGAATCGATAGGATAGCAAACCGTTATTTTCACATGACAAAATTCAAGATCTTTTATGGTAATATCACTTTTTAATTTGGTTTCTTTTATTATTCTAAAGCTACTCTTACATATTTAAAATTTTCTTATATTAAGACATAATTTTTTCACAAATAATAATCTTACATAATCATAAACTCTAAATGCATAAATTCTATAAAACTCATAAATTCATAAATTCATATAAATAAACGTATAATAATGAAAAACTCATAATAATCGTATAATAATTAAAAACTCGTAAGTAATCGTATAATGCTTAATTTTGTGTTGTATAATCGTAAGAGTAGCTCGTTATTCTAATGAAATAAAAAATAGTTTTTTCTGAATAAAATGATATATAATGTAATTCTAAAATAAAGGATAAGTATAAGAATGTCCAATTTACAAATATTTACACCGATGAAAAAAAGATAAAAAAGAAAAGATAAATGTTTTTGATAGGTGAAAGAAAAAAAAAGAAATGTTTTTTTAATAGAAAGTTGGAAACAATTCGTCGGTAGATAATTGTTGAATATCAAAATTAGAGAAAGAGTGTTGTTGTTGATGCTGCGCTAATGTCGAACTATTTGTTGATATGACACTTAATGATGGAGATGATGGTTCATCTGCAAACGAATCATAAGAAGCGGAGGTAGTCGGAGTTCCATGCATTGTTAAGTAATCATATTGACTAAATGGGGAATTTGTCAAATTGGTTGGTGTACCGATGATATCATCACTGACAGTGGTGTAAAAGTTTGGCGAAGTTAAGCAGTAGTTAAAGTTGATTCCAAGATTATTACCATCATTATTATTATTGAACAAGTTGAAATCCGGATACATTTGTATATACTTAACAATAGTATCGAGGTTCTCGTCTACTGTAAGCGAAAAAGCATTTGAAGAAGTGGCTTCAAAAGGAGTAGTAATAATGTCAATATTACAATCGTTATTATCAATAGTCGGTGCGGATAATTCCAAATTAGGAAGATTTTTCTTTTGCTTCTTAAGTTTTTTTGTTGTTTTCTTTATCGCTTTCTTGGCAGAATTTTGATGTTGTTCAATAGCAAATTCTTGATCGTTATACTGCGTGCTATCATTGTTGTATTGCTGTGTCACTACCACTGGAGGCAATTTGCTTCTAGCCTCCACGTACATTCGTTCAACTTCGCGCGCTAATTTCCGATATTCAGTTTTTACAGACCGCGGAGCGACTTTCCAAGAATCCGATGCCATTTTCGATACTTTGGTCATTTTCGCTTTCTTATTTTGACTGCTCGCTGTTCTCATAGCAGCCAGTGCTTTCAACTCTTTGACAATTACTTTACGAAAAATGAAGAATTCATTTGGCATTCTTGGATTATTTCGAGTTTTTTGTAGTAAATTATCCACCATCTCTTTGAGATCTACTTGTGGTGGTGATGGCAATCGGAATGGAAGTATTTCTTGCATTTGTCGTTCTTTCTCTTTTTCTAACTCATCAAAGTTGTTGTGATCTTCGTCAATTTGGAACTGATCGGACGGCAAAGCTTCATTTTCGGTTTCCGTGTCTTGGTCATCGAATCCAAAGTTTTGTTGTTGAAATTGCAGTTGTTGTTGTTCGATAGGAATCATCAGAAGTTTTTCAATATCATCAGGAAAAAGATTGAATAGTTGAGACATGATTATATGCGTGTGAGTGAGTGTTTTATGTGTTCTCGGGAAAGAAAGAATACTAATCTGTTATTTTTTGTTAATCGACAATTATCTCAAATATTTATTGAGTTTTTGGTGATTATGAATGAATCGAGTGAATTCGATATCTTTCAACGCATCATTTTATAATAAAAATTCACGCCCCATACGCAGTCAACAATAAAATTAACACGAATTCTATCGTGGATCGCAGCAAATTCCCAAGTTGGTTATTGGTGTCGTATTCTATTGTTGTTACCCATTAGAGTATGCTTGTGTGATGTGGCAAATTAATTAAGGATACACAAACATCGATTTATAGAAGTTGGTCTTCTGCATAGTGTGGCTAATGAAGCAACTTTAATTCGAAAGAACATGTGAGAAGGAAAATTCTTTGTTGTTGCCACACTGGAACATAGAAATCTCGTACAAACAAATATGATTGGTTACTAGCCACGGAAACACAAAATATGATTGGCTACTAGCCACGAAACCTAAAATAAATTTTTGGTCGATGACGTTTATTATACACTTGAATGGAATCCGAACAAATATTTTCAAAACGCATGCCCACCATCCTCCGGGCAATGCAACAATAAAAATTTTTGATTGCCTAAAACGTAAATATTGTTCTTCTTGGAAGTAAATTACCGCATAAAACCACCCCTTCATAGTAGACCCACCATCTTTTTTTACTAATTAAATGTTAAACAAACCCCCCGGGTGGTTTAATTATACATAAGTGATTAAATGCACACAGTAATTAATAATTTATTACATAAATAATTAGGCAAATTAAAGTAACAAATATTAAATAACCGAGCATCCTTCGATCTCATCATCGCCACTCGTCAACCGTTTCGACTGACGAAAATTACTGCGCAGAAAACACATGTATGCTGCTGCGCCTTCCGGAGTTTGTATAACGAATGTGCAAACTTGGTATGAATATAAACAATTACGGTATTGGTTACGCATAAGACTGAAAATAGGAATTTGGCAATAGAAGTTGTGCCACTTTACATATATACATTTACAAGCGATTCTTATTCGCTCGATTTGACTCGAACAATGGATGGATGAACTTTATATCATTTGGAAGATATTCAGTCCGAGAAATCGATTACATTCTTTTTAAAGAAAAACCCCCACAAGCAAACATTGGATTATTTTAGTAATTCTCGAATGCATTAAGAAATAGCATGTACATTCATAGATGTCTTTTTTAGAGCGTTGAATGAAAAATTTCCGGATTTGATGAAAATGATTGGTCCTTTTACAATGAAAATCTGTTGATATTGTGATTTCTTAAATGACGTGACGAAGGAAGTTCTTTTAAAGTTTTAGCGTTAGCCCATGACGATGAAAATCACTAACACTAATACAAATCGATTTCTTTATCGATTTTCTTTATCGATTTTCTTTAGATCTTTATTCAAAAATCCAGCCAGGTAAAGTCCGTGTACGTGTACGTATGCACGGTTGAATTCTTAGAATAACAAATTAGCAATTTAATTGGTAGTGTCAAGAGATTGGATTGATTAAAAGAAATGAATATTTATTTATATTTGACTATTTGATTAACACAATACTAGATTTAGACAAAGAAGAATAAACTACTGCTGCCTGGCAGAAGCCTTTTTGATTTTGCCTGACGTGAACTCTCGATAGTAAGTTCAAACTAACTACTCTCGATATAGTGAATAACCTGGACGCATACACTATAATGAGAGTGAGCTGTAGACACTCTGAGATCCATTCGAATTTTAACAGGTACAAGTGAAACTCGATATGGGAGACTCTTGATTTCAAAGCCCCAATTCACTTAACTATCTTTCGCCGTATGAAGGCTAATAAAAATCTCTTGATATAAGAGACAATATGGTGGGAGCAAATTGTTTTCTTGGTACAAGTAAAAATACAGACGAAGCATGATGTAAAGAATTGTTATTAGAATTGTAACTCGGCTATTATTAGGACAAAGTGAATCACAATTCAGCACACGAACTTAATACATTCAATACATTCATTTATTCTCTCGCTGACTCAAGAGGGAAAAATAACTTTGTATTATAATCAAAATACTAATTTTGTGTATCAGCATAAAAACAAGGATACTGTACATAATTCCACTTTATTTAGATGAGCATTGTATTATAATTTTCAGACATGTAGTTAAATAGACATATGATATCAATGTACGTATATATAAAATAACTGTTCTCAAAAATGAAATAAAGATAGTCAAATTGATTCCATCGAACAAAAAGCAAAAATGAATTCCCAATTTCAAGATCCTTCTCAACAACAATCATCGTCACCACCACCGCCACCGCCACCATCACAGTTTTCTTCATCACAAGATTCAAGCCAAAATCCGATGATAATCAGGTGCCACTGTGGAATCGAAGCGCAATTAAAAAGATCCTCGACAAAACAAAATTACGGTCGATATTTTTACTCGTGTTCGAAATATAATACCGAAGAAAGTGGGACAGAGTGCAATTTTTTTTGCTGGCAAGAAGAAGCACAAAAGAAAAGTCAGAGTGGTACGGCGAGTGCGTTAAAGATGAAACAAAGAGAGACGGGAACTATTGGGACTAGTTCTCCGGCTTCAACGAGTAGATTGTCATCACAAATTGAGATAACTGACTATGATAATAACCCGGATGCTGAGATAAAAGGTCAAAGACCGGAATCTGAAAAAACATTAACAAACATCGGTAAGAGTAACAACAGCAACGACAATAATAGCAATAAAAACAACAATAAAAAATCATACATAGTAGAAGTAACTTCAATCACAACAAAAAATACTCCTGATGTTACTGCTTCTTCTCCACAAAAGACCAAAAGGCTCATAATATTATCCGATTCTGACAACGAATTATCAACGGAAAAAACATCATCACAATTATCGAGTAGTGGTTTTCTCGATAATGTAATCACATATGTAAATGAACAGAATAAAGCTTTATCACGTGAGAAATTATTGAAAAACGAAGCGAGACTACAACTTCAAAAATCACAATATGAGAATGGACAATTGAAGCGAGAGAATCAAGAATTAAGACAGCGGTTGAGAAGTATTAAGAGAAAGCAAGAACTCGAAGACGAAGATGAAGATGAAAGTGAAGAGGAACGAGATTTAGATAATAACGAGAAACAGAGACGGCGTGCAAAGAAAGGAAGACTAAATGATTAGTGAAAAATAAATTATTTATGCTCATATGTTTGGAATAATCTAATAATGATAATGAACCCAAAGAAAATTCTTAAAATTATTATTATTATTATGTTTAATGACCTTACTATTTCTGTAGAATCCTGGTTCCTTATAACGCGATTTTACTTTAAGATTGTTATATCAAGAGGCCATTATATGTAACTTATAGAAATAGCATCTATTCAATATTTTATGTTTCATAATATATCCACGTATTCTAAGACTCAGAATGCCTCACGAATAATTATTTAACGAATAATCCAAATAAGATTGGCTTATCCGAATATCATGTGATCTATTTCGTTTTCTAATGGACCAAGGTCCAGTGATGATTCCGAACCAATAGAACATTCTCAATAGAACACTGTTCCAGTCCATTGGCTCACCAACACTGGTCAAGATTAGAAAACGCCAATTTTGAGAACGTTTAGCATACAATGTATTCGATTATTCAAATATTCGACAAATAAATAGAATGCTGACTCTTTAAATAGGTTCTTTCTGTTCCGAATAATTTCAATATTATCAAATAGAAAATTGGTAAGCTTTACCTATATATGTATAATGTTTCAAGTTTTTTAAAAGTAGTATATAATAAAGATGGGTGCCAAACCCATGTGATGTGAATTGGCACACGGTTTAGGTTATACATGTAGTTTAAGGTTATACAGTTTTTGCAACTCTAAGCCGAAACCAATGACAATTAAGCGTCACCGGTTTAGGCGTCCAACTATACTCAGTATATAATCAGTTGCAGCATGTTCCCTCCGAATGCATAAATATCATTTCTCCAAGCAGCTGGACCGAAATATAAGTTCCCTGAAAATCTCCTGTGTAGTTAGCAAAGTAATTCCGGAAATTTCTCGAATTTGAGGCATAAAGATATTGCGGAATAGGCTTAAGAGGCAAATCCAAATAAAAAAGGTCACGAGAAATATTTTATTCGAGTCTTTTCCGCCAAATTAATAGATTTTGTTATCTATTAAGTGAGCATTGTGGCCAAAACGAGGAAATGGGGTTAAAGGTTGGGAAATCTTCACTGCATTGAATAAGAACAGCAAAAGAAATACGAGACGAATTTATTTCATTAAATATATACATATATAGGTATCCTTTAATATATTTATATCTTTGGGCAAAAAATTCTGTGTTTTATAGTTTTTGTCCGAACAAATACCGTAATACTTTCCGATTGTATGATATACATGTACGTGTTTATTTTCATTCAAATAAAATCTGACACACGGATCCAATCATTAAATTTATTAACACTTAGTTACTATCTTTAATAAAATTATAAAGCATTGACGATAAATTGTATATTACAATAATAATTGGCTTGTAAATATTATGTTACGAGTACTTATTCTAATTGGCGAATTAGTATTGATACATGGAATAGGAGACAATTAGACTGATCATAATTATTAGACTGAAATGGGCAAGTCTAAAATCTGTGCCAATTTGCAATTATAATTGATTAATTGTTTCTTTGGGCGATCAATCCAAAAAGAATACATGTAATTGAAAGTAACAGTTTATTGACAAATAAAAGAAACAAGTAATAATAAAAGTGTGTGAGCGAAAATTTCTTGATAATATATTTTGTTTTTATAGCTAAAAACTTATAAAACAAAGTGTTTTAAACAAAATAACAAAAAATAGTTAAACAAAATAATAATAACAAAAAATAATTAAACAAAATAATAATAACAATCAAGATTTTCTTGTTATTTTTTACTTTAAAAAAAATAAGTCCAAGTTTTATATTAAGTAACTTATAAGCAAAAACTTATTTCTTTAGTTCAAAGTTTTAATTCTAAAAAAGTTGAAATATATTATAGTTAAAATTATTTTATTTATATATTTTCAAATTCTAAAAATAAATAAATAATAAAATAAAATAAATAATAGAAAAAACAAAAGTAATAAATAAAATAATAATAAATAAAAATTAAAAATATAAAAGTAATTTAATTAAATAAATTCTATTATAATATATTATAAATAATTATTATCAATTTTAATTTTGATTAATATTATTTTATTTGAATAGAGAAATTTAAACTTTACAAAATAAGATTAAAAATTTTTGAGTTTATTTATTTTGTAAATATTAATGAATATTAAATAATTATTTCTAATATATTACTAATATTTATTACAAAAATTATTTAATTAAATAATTTGTTATTATTTTTATAACTTTTAAATATATAATATATCTTTTATATAATTTAAAAATAAATAATATATAGTAATAATATAATACAAAAAAATTATTAATAAAAATACAAAAAATACAGATTTTTCTTTATATAAATATTTTTAATTTTATTAATAAATATTTTTTATTTTTATATAAAAATAAAGATAATATTATATATTTTTTTCAAATTTTTAGATTTAATTTAATAATATTATTTTAATTCTATATAAAGTTAATAATTTTTTATATACTTTTTATTATAAAAATTTTAGACTTTATATACAATTAAATAACTTTATCAGATTAAATATAAATATTAAAAGAAAATATATATTAAAATATATAATATTATCTTTATTTTAATATAAAAATAAAAAAATATTTATATAAAAAAATCTATATTTTTTATATTTTTATTAAATTTTATTAATAATTTTTTTGTATTGCATTATTTTTAATTATTATTATACACACCCCTACAATAAATTACCGGAAATCCAAAAAAAAGCATAGTAAAACATAGTAAAATTGAAATTATCTCTTTATAATGAAAATTTTATTATTATTAGTAAATATTTTTTGTTTTTATATCAAAAGAAAGCTAAGAACCTGTATTTTAACATATATTTTTTATAGATTTTTTAAATTTAATTTCAGAAATATTTCGGATTGTAAAGTTAGTTACACAAACTTTTTATAATTAAAATTTAATAAAAAGTTTGTATAACCAACTTTACAATCCGAAATATTTCTGAAATTAAATTTAAAAAATCTATAAAAAATATATGTTAAAATACAGGTTCTTAGCTTTCTTTTGATATAAAAACAAAAAATATTTACTAATAATAATAAAATTTTCATTATAAAGAGATAATTTCAATTTTACTATGTTTTACTATGCTTTTTTTTGGATTTCCGGTAATTTATTGTAGGGGTGTGTATCATTTTTAATTTTTAATTTAAATATTGAAATCAATATTTTTAAATTTTAAGATTTGTATTATCACGTGACAAACCTGGATCGGTAATCCGGGTATGGTCGGATGTGATTTACATCACGTGACAGTCACCTTGATTTACCATGGCTAGGGTTTTACGGATCTATTGTGATACGTCATCAAAAATTTTTTGTAGAGATTGGTAAAATTCAACATTTATCACTATCTTCCTCGTCTTTGAGAACAATACTCCTTTTTAAAAGATGGTAAGTGTATCTTTAACTGGAAGGATTATTTATATAGGTTTTTTTTGAGATTGATGGTTTTTTAAAACAATGGATATGAGTTAGTGATAGTCGCATAAGTTTATAACCAGTTCTTTGAGACTATTATTAATGATAATTTCTCGTTTTAAATTAATACCTTGAAAACGCATTTATTATTATTCTCGCATTTCTAGTCTCTGGTGGTACCCGATAAGAATCAATTTCAACATATTCTTCGTCTGCTGAACACCAATGTTGAGTAAGTTCTATCTAACATAAATCAATAATATTTGGAAATAGAAAATTCAACAAATTTGTTTGTAGGGGTAAAACCAAGGTACAATTTGCCTTAACTGCCATCAAAGGTGTCGGTAGACGTTACTCTAACCTCGTGTGCAAAAAAGCAGATGTTGATTTGTCTAAACGGTTCGAATTTTTTAATATATATATTGATGTATATTTTTGATATTCATCAAATATATTGAACGCTTCTCATTATTCAGAGCTGGTGAATTGACTAACGAGGAATTAGAACGTATAGTCACGATTATACAAAATCCTGTACAATATAAAATTCCAAATTGGTTCTTGAATCGACAAAAAGATATTTTTGATGGTAAATTCTCGCAAATTCTTGCAAATGGTCTTGAAAGCAAACTCCGTGAAGATTTGGAGCGTCTAAAAAAGATTCGTGCACATCGTGGTCTACGTCATTATTGGGGTCTACGTGTGCGCGGTCAACATACAAAGACTACTGGTCGACGTGGTCGAACTGTCGGTGTGTCGAAAAAGAAGGGTGAGTATTTTTTTTATTTTGTGGCGTATTTTCTGTTTAGTGCGTTGCTTATTGTTCATAAGATCGAGAGTAGTATGATGATTTCAACACAAAAAAATCCTTTATCTACATTGTCTGAAAACACCTGTAGAGAATTTGAATCTGATCTTTCCTTATAGAATTTATTTATTCATTTCTTTATTGCATGTTATAAATTAACGTTGTGTTTCCTTTTCTAATTTACAGGTTAAAATCAGTATCGACGAAAACGCGTTTATGTTTTTTGATTAACTTACACAAATAAACAATAATTATGTGAAATATTTTTATTATTGATCTTCTATAATGTTCCCTGTGATATTATAAAGTTCTCTTGCGGTTATGCCCTGCAAATTAAACCCTTTCATCTTTTCCATTTCACCAGTCTCCAGTTTCTCCAATTGCGCTGTTTTCCCTTTGATCGAATTTCTGACGACCTCAATTTCGTTGTCTAGATTTTTTTGATCTGATTTTGCATTTATCGTATTCACACATAATAAACGATGTAATTTATATGTACATTGATAGACACGACACGTATACGAAACATATACACGGGGATAAAACGCGAGTAATTTGAACGCGCGTACCTTTCTCAATCAAGGTCTTTACATTAGGTGCTTCCATCTTAATAAAAAAATCACCAAGATTCACCCATAGTTTTTTCTCATTCTTCAATTCTTTTTTGAATTTGTTTAGAGCTTCACGATTTGTGTTTCGTTTCCTATCGTAATCTACTACCTGTGAATAATTTCTAAATCAAAATGAGAAAAAAACTTAAGTTTCACCGAAAAAAAGCAACAGGCAATCTACTAACAAGTTGTTGATTGGTAAGAATGTCCTCAACAATGCGTTCACGTTCTTCCAAGACTGTAGTATTTGGAAAGCAAATATTAATTTTATAGATTATAGATGATTTCAATAAAAATTATAAAATTACTTGGTAACAAATCCATTGCGACAACGTTCAATTTTGCAATTTTTTGAGTGAAATATCTAATTGGACTACGTGATCGAATTACGCAGTTACTAAACAAATTTACTAAAATATGGTGAGCTTTGCGCGCTTAGTTTCTTTTAAAACCTGATATATTAATTTGGCTTTTAACGTTCATTCTCTTACTCTTTCAGGCTCGTAATGAAGAGAAAGCTCAGTAAGTTTGCAAGCTTTTCTAGATTTTAAAAGCAAGCTCAATTAAATTTTTACCAAAAAATGTTTTGGTCGCTTTATCAAGGTCCATGTTATATCGTTTTCGTGAGGCGCAAGCCGCGGAACTTGGCCTCTTAAAACCTAAAGAACGTCGGCCTTACTTAGCATCCGACTGTACTAACGTAAGAGAGGCAGAAAAATGGCGACAACAAATCCTTAGAGAGGTATCACGCAAAGTGTCAAAAATACAAGATGGTAAAGTTATCAAATGGTTTCTTTTTAGGTCTTACATAAGAAACATAAGATTGAATTAGCTTTTGCTTCACTTTAGCTGGTCTTTCCGATTACCAAATAAGGGACCTCAATGACGAGATCAATAAATTAATGCGAGAGAAGGGACATTGGGAAGATCAAATTAAAAAGCTCGGCGGCCCCGATTATAGAGTTTGAATTTTTCTTTTTTGGATCAACTCAATTTAATGATATTTTCATATGAATAATATTCTAATTTATATTATTTCAAATCGAGTAGCGAATAGGACCAAAGATGATGGATCATGAAGGGAAAGAAGTGCCGGGCAATCGAGGATACAAGTATGAAATGTTAAATAATACTTTATATAAAATTGTGAACCAATTTTTGACTTTGAAAATATGCATGCACAGATATTTTGGAAGGGCAAAAGATTTACCAGGTGTAAGAGACTTATTTGAGCAAGAAGGTATGTATATTACCACTTAAACTAATAATTTTATTATTCTTTGATCTATTATTTTCCAGAGAAATTATGTTTATCTGATTGATCTTTGTGTTATGTAGTTCCCGAACCACTTAAGCGTACTAGATTTGACTTGTACAAAAATGTCGACGCGGATTATTATGGATATCGGGATGAAGAAGATGGCACACTAATAGATTATGAACAAGACCAAGAGAATTTAGGTAGATATAACAATTGTTTTAAAAATTATTACACTTTTTTTTTCACTATATTTTATTCTTGTCAAGCCATCGAAAAAGCATCACAATTACCAGACAAGATAGAATTGAAGGATAAAACAGTTCCAAAAGGAAAAGGAAAAGAACAAAGAATTCCAATGGATGTTGACAAATCAGACGAAAAATACGTGTCACATGTTGCAGTACCTAGTCAAAAAGAAGTAGAAGAATATTTGGTTCGAAGACGGAAACGCCAGATTCTCGATCGATATGTTTCCGAGGATGTGGAGGAAATTACAAAAGAAACAAAATAATTGACTGGGAGTTCTTAATTTATACGTCATTGATAACTTATTTCGAGATGTTAAAGGTAAGAAAAATTCACCAGGTGAGTAATAAATTACTTTATTAATATGTACCAACACGTATAGATGTATTCGTATATAGATAGAAGTTTTGATGTTGTGATTCCATTGTCATTATTAAAAAATTAATACCATCTATAATGCATAGAAATAAAAATTAATCCTTAAAACTTGCTTTCTTTTCAGCTCCGATCCAATGCTAAGGAGACATGTAAATGATTGTTTCATAAATTATTATTTCTTAAGCATCAAAAAAAGCAAAATAAATCGAGATTTAAAAAATGCATGGTTTTATTTAGGGTGCATTCATTATTCGATTATTTAGCTAATCCAATCAGGAATAAATAAAGTTAATAATCAACATAATCATTTATATATACTAAGTCAGCTAATAACTTATTTCAGAACATTACTAGAACCTTTAAATTTTCTTTTCTTTCCTTTGTGCGTATTATCATCAGAGCTGCTTCTATTATGCAGAGTTTTGTTTGTATTTATGTTTGCAATTTTTTCGGTTTTTTTTGTAGCAGTTTTCAAGATACTTTTATTTTTGGCGTTATTGTTACTACGTACACTGCGTTTTGGAGGTTCGTAACTCTCATCTTCGTCAAATGAACCAAATTCATCAGGATGAGTGGGAAGATAGTACACTTCCTCGTCCTCTTCTGGATCTGATTGCAGAAATTTTGGCTTTTCTATTGTAGTGATATCAATTATCTCATCATCTTCATCTTCACGCTCTCTTACTAAAGAATCAATAGACTCCACAATATCAAATTCGTCTTCCCGTTCTTCATACTCTACGTTTTCATCTAATTCTTTGAAATGAGGTGCAAATGCACTCCAATTTTCCTGGTGTTCTGTTGCCCAGATATAAATACTTCCATATGCTGCTGCTGATGCAATAATGGGATGCACCGGATGCCATGCTAAATCATTAAGTTGCTCTTTTGGCCCTTCAAGCATCTTTACTAGATTTCCACGTTCCTTGTCCCATATATAAATGTTATGACCCATTTTATGAGCGGAGCCTAATATAAATTGTTTTTGTGACAATTCTCAAAAAACAATACCAAATTATGCAATATTGCATCCCTTACAAATCTCACCTCCAATAACATATTCGCCATCTCGATTAAAGCAACATTGATTCCATTGAACTTTATTAATTACGTCGGTGAAGGTTTGACGTAATATGAACACGTGTTCGTCATCATCTAGGCTGTATACACGAATTGATCTGTCGCTAGCATTGATTATAAAATCTCTAAAATAATTCCATCATATAAGTCAAGCTAATAAAATTCATGTAGAGAAGTTAACGGTGATGCCAATAACTACCTGCCATCACGGCTTAATACTAAATTTTTTATCGCATAACTCCCACTAATTCTCTCCATATATATTAACTAAATAAGCGAAGGGTTAGATAAGTGTCTTACGAATACAAAAAATCAAGAGAAAACAAAGATAGCTACTTCTCGGGTATTAGCATCAATGATATGAATAGCACCTTTACTACTACCCGTAAATATACGTTCCCCTTGGATATCAAATCGACATACAAGAGTTGAGCTAGAATACAAATAGCGATTAGCTTATTGAAGAATAAATCAACTTTGATAACGGAGAAAAGAAATATAAAAGTTTTTCAACATTGGCTTTGAATCTTTTTCATTTCCATTATTGTAAAGATCGCTGGAAGATTCGGAATCTGTTGGTAACTCTCGGATTTGAGTGTCTTTGCCTGAAATATCCACCAGGACAGGGGCCTCTACTTTTAACGCTGCTACAAAGACATCACTTTAGATATGATAAAGAGTTCGTAAGCGAATAATCATATAGAAAATTTTAAAAGATGGAGAATACCAACTTTTTCTTAGGGTGCATTTGCGCCATAGCAACTCCTGTATCAAATGGTATTGTTCGGGCAACAGTTCCAGATATCAAGTCCCAGTATATACACTTGAAATCTTCACCTGACGTTAAAAGATACCGTCCATTACGCGACCAACTACAATAGAAGAACAAGTTTAAGCTAAAATCATGCAGCCCTCGCATCATTATAAATATAAAATTTACCTTATGCTAGATACTTTACTGACATGTCCTTTGAGAATTCTTGCAACTCCTTTAGTGTCAAAGTCCCAGACAAAGACTTGACCGTCTTGACAGCCAGCTGCTAATAAAGTACCTCGTCTATTAAAGCTAATGCATGTCGCATTTGTGTTTTGAGCGTATAAGTCGGTAGTAGTATGTTCTATATTTTCAGGATAATCTTGTTCAAAGGGATCTAAAGGCAAGCCATGATGTCGTATATTTAGTGTTGAGTTTTATTTTTCAAAGACACTTGAAATAGAAACATACTCAAAAGTTCAAGATTCATATTCCCATTGATAAATTTAAATTGTAGAATATTTATAAATATTTATAAATATATGTCGATCTCAGCATAAACTGGATCTTAATCACAAACGCGTTTTACCTTGATAATGGTATGCTGGTGACTATCGATATTCATTTACTTTATACTTTCGTTTTAACCTTTATTGCTTTGAATAGAGAACAAAAAAAGGACAAGACCGGGTTTTGCAGGTAACTGAACGCGTCTATCCATTACTCGCAAATGCAAGTTTTTAATTTTAGGATTATTTTTCTCAGGAATCAGCACAAGCTGGCTCTTTGCGTCGAAGCACCATAGTAACGTCCGAAATTAAAAAAGGAAAACGCAGGCGAGAAGTAGAGGAAGATGAAGAGTCTGAATTGTCGTATGATGAGGATATTCCAACACAAGTTATTACAACAACGTCTGCCAAAAAAGCATTACAAAAATTATCAGATGATGTAAAGTATATCTCGACTTTTGGAATTAATAATCATTTTGTTCTCTTCAAAATTTATATTATTAATTATAATTTCAGGAAATAAATCGCAAAGTAAAAGGTTTGGTCAGACTCGCCCTATTCTCTGAGCGCAAGAAAACACCGATAAGGCGTGAAGACATGGTGAAAAAAGGTGATAGACAATAGAAGCAATAATATTTTAGGATATTCCTTGCTTTACTAATCTCGGCAAATTCGATATAAAGTTCTTCAGGAACATTCTAGAGCTTTTCAAGAGATTTTCGAACAGGCACAAGATGAACTACGTGATGTCTTTGGAATGGAAATGGTTGAAATGCCTACTAAAGAAAAAAATCATACAGGGACAGGAGCAGCACGAAGAGGTGTGTGTTTTTTAGTTGGTGATTTTATTTGTTTGATTTTTTTTGCTAAAATTAATTCACAATTATTTATTTTAGCTAATAATAAGGGAGCATCTACGATCTGTAAATCATACGCACTCATTAGTATTCTACCGCAGCAAATAAAAAATACCGATCTTATCCAATGGCATGAAGAAGAAGCGACGATGGGTTTACTTACAGTTATTCTCAGTCTTATCTTTGTAAATGGGCAGACATTGTCAGACGGTATTAAAGTTTTTACGTTATACTCCATAATCATGTAATTCTTACCAATATATACAAGATTAATATTCCATCCGCAGATCAACTTAGAAGCTATACCAATCGCCTTCATATCCGAGGTGATCACGAGACTTTCGGAGAACTAGATAAAACGTTAATGACCTTTGTAAAGCAAGGTTACTTGGATAAGCAGAAATCTGGTCTAGTCGATCAAGTTTCAGAAAAAGAACACTTCGAGTACCGTTGGGGACCCAGGGCAAAAGTCGAATTTCCAGAAAATAGCATAGTTCAATTCATTAAAACGGTTGGTTTGATTGACGAATCTTTTTTCTTTGTCGAAATACTTTCTAGATTTCAACTAAGCATTTATTTTCCATAGATATATGGTCGAGAAGCCGGCCCAGATTTCGCAAAACAAATTCAAAGAGCATCTGGTGGGGGTATTGATTAAAAGAAATTATTTTTATTCTACACTGTAATAACAATATTAAGAATATATAATAAGAATAAAAGCATTGAATATTGAAAAAATTTTCTAAAGTGATGCCGTCATTTATCTACAATTCTAAGGTTTTTCTGGATACAAATTGATGAGTGTTCTTTTTAAAAGTTAAGCATGATGATGTTACACTCAAAACATCTATGGTACATATATTTTACACCATCCTTCAACTGTGCGCCTACAACACGGACAAGTCTTAAACCTGTAACGTGCAAGAAATTATTAATTTAATTCAAGTCAATAAAGAACGAGTACATCAGACAAATGCCTACCGTTTTTGAGCCATGACTTCTCTACAGTCATTACACAAGGCGAAGCAGCTATTCACAATAGACAAAAGAAATTAAATTGAATCGGTCATTAATTTTAATTAGATACTAAAATTTACCTGCAAGGTTTTAATAAACATTGCCGTGGCTCAGCATGACATATAACACATAATCGATCTGTAATTGGTTGTTTTACTTCTGATAATTCACGTCTCTGTTGTATAAGGACTAGAAGTGCCGAATTTTCATCTGCAGATGTTGATATTAAGGTTCTTTCGGTTAATTGTCGGTATTGATTACGAGTGAGAATTGGCGCGTGCATGAGATGAGTTAGGAAAAGTTGCAGAATAGACGATGATGAAGATGATGACGAAGATGAATGCCCTTGTCCATGTTCTTGTTCCCTAATATCATTTCCTAAGGAGATCAATTCATTATATGCTTCTTGTGATTCTTCGGCTTCATCGTCTGATTCACCATCTGATTCTTGTTCAATTATATTTTCTTCTTTGAATTCATCGTCATCTTCTTCCTCAAAATCATCATCCTTTAAAAACCTTTCATATAATTCTGCATCAGGATCGTACTCTTCAACACCTTCTGATCTTGTCTGAACCCCAACCAGATTTTGATTTGATATATCATTTCGTCGTGCCAAAAATGGAATTGGGAGTCTATTAAGGATCCAAGATCCACAATCTGAAGCGACTTGAATAAGGTTATACGCAAAATTGGTCATAACTGTTATCCGAAGAGGATTATTGTCTGGTTCATGAGTGGTAGTCAAACCATTACTATCAATTTGCTCATTATCAAACCCACTTGTTGGTCTCCTCCTGATGATTTTTCTTCGCCTGCGAGAAGCTTCGAAAACAGTTCCCATAGGAACGGCAATTGGATTCAATTCATTACGATATCCATCCGTTCTTGTAGCTTCAACCTAAATTAATAACAGAATAAATATTTGCAAGCAGCCCATCCCTCGTTAAAGTATCAAAAATATCAAAGATATAAAATACTTACACAAGCCATTCCTATCGAGTACAATGCCATTGTGTAATCTTGATTCAACGAAGGTAAGGATCGCGAATCAAGGAAAAATCTTCCCCGAAGGTTTCCACCTGTTGCCACGATTGCAACGCCATGTAAAACAGCGCACATGATGATGACACATATTAGCGCCAATTCCGGGAATCGAGCAACACTTTGTAACAGAGGATAAGACGTTGAAAAACGCAGCGCATATGCAAAATGAATAATGCCGATAATTCCAATAATACTAGTTGGTATTAGTCTATACTGAGTACCACGAGAATGGAGGTAAAGTAATTCAAGTGCAAAAGCATCCAACAATTCTAACAACGCAATTATTATGAGATCAACATTCGGAAGGTTTGGGGACGCATATAAGTGAAATAATAATGCCCATTCATAGAGATTGGTAGCTTGTTCACGACCCGGAAGACTAAGATAGAAGATCAAACATAAAGAATGTGTCAAATTTATTCGGTTAAATTTTCATCATCTATAAAAGAAATTGATTGCCTACTTTCTATTCTCGAGGCTTGAATGAAACGCTTTCATGACATATACCGCAGCTAGCGCTTTTAGACAAAGCCATAAAGCTTGGTGATCTGTATAATCCACGCTGTAGCTAAGGATAAAGTTGGATACATGCTTTTGAAACCACGATACATCGTCAGCAATGCGTGAAATTAATACCAAGCTCGCTTTAACCATCAAGAAAAAACATGGTAGACGTAAGAAAAGCCGAGTCGTAAAGGTTAAGGGTCTTGGATTGCGAGGAGCGACAATAGCGTTAATTCTATTGTTCAATACATTCTAAAAGTCGAAAACAAAGGCAGACCTAAGAAAGATGAAACTAAGCATAGCAAACTAGAAACAGAAAAACCAGTTGAACGTCGTCGCCTTTCGTTTTCTTACTTACCACAAAAATTGCAAGATATAAATAATGCGAGTAAATAAAGTTCCATAGGTTTGGGTGAAACTCTGATATTTCTTGACCTTCAAATTCTTCTTCTGGCATCAATTTATGTATAAATTGACACCAGCTAGCTATTATCTCTCCTATATAAGTTCCACTAAAGAAATTTTCTCGTCCCGAAGGTGTACTCATGTTTAAAAGTTAGAAAAAGAAAATCCGAAATTTAGATTTTTTTGGCGTCGTAAGACCATATGGGATCGATGGCTGATTCTCCAATGATATTAAATTTATGCGTGGAATAGCCTCATTCTCAGAATTAACAATATCATAATAAACAATCCATCTGTTTTTTTATTATATATAAATATATATTTCATAATTTAAGCCTTCATTCATTGGAGAAAAAATCATGCAGAGAAAACCATCTCCAATAATTAGTCAAATAAATGGTTTTCTCTGCATGATTTTTCCCCTAGGGATGTTCTTAATGGTTCTAAATGGTCCCAATAAAAATTGCTAATGTTAGAAATGATTTCTTTTAATTGTTGCAATTAGAAACAGTCCCAGACCTAAAATGGTCCCAAATGATCCAAGAAAGTTGCTAGTTTTAGAAATGATTTTTTCTTTAAATGCTACTAATTAAACTTGTTTGTATTAATTTTTTAGTTGTTATTTATTGGAGATAAGTGATAAACTTTTTCTGGAATTCAAAATTCTTTAAAATATTAGGACCATTAGGGACCTAACTCCAATACGAATTTTTTTGAAATAAATTTTAAAACATATAGTTCTTCATCAAAAGAGTTTAATAATAATAATTATATAAAGATATCTAGGGGATTTTATTTCTTGCCAGCTTTAACGGCAGCTTTGGTAGTCTTTCCTGACTTGTCAACTTTTTCGACACCCTGAATCGAGACAATAAAATAAGATAAATATTAATTAATAAACTTGATCCTAATCACAATAACATCAACATCAAGGATTAAAATTAACCTTAATAACTCCCACAGCGACGGTTTGACGCATATCTCTTACAGCAAAACGACCAAGAGGAGGATAATCCGAGAAGGCTTCAACACACATCGGTTTGGACGGAATCATTTTAACGATAGCGGCGTCCCCTGATTTGACAAATTTAGGACTGTTTTCGAGAGATTTACCAGTACGACGATCGATCTTTTCCACCAATTCAGCAAATTTACATGCGATGTGAGCGGTGTGGCAATCCAATACTGGAGCATAACCAGCGCCAATTTGTCCGGGATGATTTAGAACAATGACCTGGGCTTGGAAGGAAGCAGCTTCCTTGGCAGGATCATTCTTAGAATCAGAGCAGACGAAACCACGACGGATTTCTTTGACAGATACGTTCTTGATATTGAATCCGACATTGTCACCAGGGACACCTTCGACTAACTGTTCATGATGCATTTCTACTGACTTGACTTCAGTTGTTAGACCAACTGGAGCGAAGGTTACAACCATACCAGCCTTGATGATACCAGTTTCAACACGACCAACTGGGACAGTGCCGATACCACCAATTTTGTAAACATCCTGAAGTGGAAGACGAAGTGGTTTATCGGTCGGCCGTGATGGAGGTTCAATAGAGTCAATGGCTTCCAATAACGTCTTGCCTTTAGCGGAACCACCTTTAATTTCTTTGTTCCATCCTTTGAACCATGGCATATTTGGAGACTCTTCCAACATATTATCACCGTGCCATCCTGATATTGGTACGAAAGCAACAGTTTTGGGGTTATAACCGACACGTTTGATGAAACCTGAAACTTCTTTGACGATTTCGTTGAATCGTTCCTCAGACCATTTTGTGGTATCCATCTTGTTGACAGCAACAATAAGTTGCTTGACACCAAGGGTATAGGCCAGAAGGGCATGTTCACGGGTTTGTCCATCTTTAGAAATACCGGCTTCGAATTCACCAGTACCAGCAGCAATAATTAGGATAGCACAATCAGCCTATATTATTATTGTTGTTGTTGTAGAAAAAAGATATAATTATCGTTAGAAATTATTTTCGAATAATTTTGTAACTGATCCAGTTTAAAGAACGAATTTATACCTGAGATGTACCAGTAATCATGTTTTTAATGAAATCACGATGTCCAGGGGCATCAATGACAGTGACATAATATTTTGGGGTTTCGAACTTCCAAAGAGCGATATCGATAGTGATACCACGCTCACGTTCAGCTTTTAGTTTGTCCAATACCCAGGCATATTTAAAAGAACCTTTACCAAGTTCAGCAGCTTCTTTTCTATAATAAAATTAGGAAATACATAGAATCGAATTTAATTTTTGAATTCATCGGTAAAATTACAATGAATGGTATTGTTTAAGAGATTGCTTACTCGAATTTTTCTATCGTACGTTTATCAATACCCTAAGTAGAGTGGTTATAAAAATTAAGTTTAAAAATTGTTCTCTCTCGTAATAGTAATTCACCCAACAAAAAACGGCTTAATTGCACAATGCCACTGAAAGTCTTACCCCGCATTTGTAAATAAGATGTCCAGTGGTAGTTGACTTGCCAGAATCGACGTGACCAATAACAACGACGTTAACGTGAATCTTTTCTTTACCCATTTGCTAAAATTATAACAAAAGTGATATTTATTAATGATTAATCCTTGCCATGGAATGTATTTTTTTTTTTGAAAATTTATAAATTTTCTCTAGAAGTATATTAGGGATAATGCTGCGGGTAAGAATATCGCTAAAAAAGGCAATTGCAAAACGTTTTTTCCTTCCATGGCACAAATGTAAAATATAATGACCAAATTCAAAACGGTCAGACGGATGGATATTTTCCTATAAAGATAGAAAAATACTTACATTATGATACTATAAGCATAAAATACCGTAGAGGAGTCGTTAGAAGGAAAAAGTTGGAAGGGTGAATCAAAAATCCTGACGAGTCCCCATTTAAATATTAATCTTGATTGACGTCCCCTTTTTCAAAAAAAAATATGAATCACAATCCGCGCAATTTGATAGGTGCACGATGGAAAAAAGGGCCCTATCGAGAGATTGATTAGACTAATTGTACTAATTGTTAAAGGGGTATAAAAAAATTTTTATAAGAAACTGCATACAATCATCATCGCATCACTTTGCCACATAATGAAAACTTCATCAGCACATAGATAGATGATAATAATAATACGAATAATACAACCATTTATTTTCTAATTTTCTATGACTAGATATCGTAGCACCTGGCGCAGAGATCAAAAGATTGCGTTAAAATGGAGAAAAAGAAAAAAGATGGTGGGTAATTTTTTTACTACACATGTGAATTCGTTCAACAAGTAATGCCTCAACTATTTAAAGATAGTCAATCAAGGCGCAGTTATTTCCGCAGCAAAGCTTCGCAACAGAATAAATCAATTCATGTCCCGTGAAGGTTAATTGGAAATATTAAACTCTCCATTTCTATTAATTTATTCGGAAGTTTCTTCGATTGAGCATATTTCTTTTTAATTTTCTTCAGATCCTGATGGATACTATAATCATAAAGTGCTTGAGTTGTTAGATGAAGGAGGTGACCAAAAAGATCCTATGATATTGCATAAAATATAATTATGAATTACTATACGTTTCCAACTAAAATCAAACTGCATCAATTTACCATCTCACGATTTTCTTTCGTAAAAGAACCTAAAACCCATTGAGTAATTGTTGTCGAATCATTTGGGGGTCTTCCAATCCCTAAACGGAATCTTATAACATTAAAAATGCCAAATTGTTAATCCGTGATTCACATAGGAAAAAAGTCGACAAAGATAAATGGCCTTTACCTAACAAATTCTGTAGTTTCAAGGACATTTACAATGCTTTCTATTCCTTTATGACCTTGCAAAGCTGCCAAGTGACCACCACCTATAAAGGATGTGAAGTTACAATTTGAACGGAAAAAACTCTGATTGTCTATATTGAATGATACAAACCTTGAATCATTAATAATCCAGGAAGAGCATTCAAATCATCACAAACTACAATCAATTTTTTCATGTCAGTGATTTCATAATATCGAAGTACTTTTTTAATTGACACTCCTGATTCATTCATATTCAACAGAGGTTTCATCAAAATTACTCGAAACGATTTCTGCCATAGATCAATAAAATTACGCTGTCAGATAAAAATTTACTAAATAAAGAATTGTACAATAATAACCGACTGTAACACTAGAAGACCCATTTTCAATTTTGGACGAGAAAATCGTATCTCGTATATCAGCTAGATGTATTGTTAATAAATACTTCGATAATTAAGAGTTGATACATGTATATTTCTCGCACTATAGAGTATATTTTCCTACCTGTCAAATCAAATCTTCTATAAAAAACTGGTTTAACGGCATTATTCTCTCCTTGAGAGGAGAGCATCGCGTTTGCTAAATAATCTATAAATATAAAACCAGCTGAACGAGTAACACGAGTAAATATGACATAAAGGAAACAAAGAAAAGACTCAAGTTTAAAGGATAATAATAAAAACAACCATTATGGCGCGTGGTAGCATATTGAGGTTCAGGGTTTCCCAAGCCTGCTACAACGATATCAACAGGCCGCGACATACAGATGTTCGTCGAATGTCTCTGGTATTTATAGTCACCTGATCTAGCAGATCTTGCGATTTTATTTATTTTTCGCAATTTGTCGATATATTTCAAGAATGTTGCGCACTACTGTTAGGAACTTTTTGCCTTACTTGAAAAACCCACAACATTCAGCAGGTAAATTTCTCTTAATACATGCCAAGTCTCTTTGTTTACGAATATATACTTACAATGCTCCATATCGATGAAACTTACAAGTAAAGCTTACGAAAACAACACAATCTCCACTGGTTCATACTTGTATGCTTTTTCATACATCTAGAGCAATAAAAAAGCAAGATTCTTCTCCCTCCTCGTCAGAAAAGACAGCTTCGGTGAAAATTGAAACTCGTCTGCAAATTTCATTTACCTGCAAAGTATGCAAATATCGAAGTACCAAACAAATGTCACGTCAGGCTTATGATCACGGTGTGGTCATTATTCAATGTTCAGTGTGCAAGAATCACCATTTGGTTGCTGATCATTTAGGTTGGTTCCGTGATGAACATACAACCATCGAAACACTGATGGCAGAGCAGGGTCATAATGTTACCAAATTGTAGGGATACCTGTGAATAAACTGATACAATAAGAAAAACTGGAAACTTTTTTCTCGATCAGCATCATGAATCATCATGATTTTAAACACAATTACAAATACAACTATAATTGATCGTTATATCCAAATCCATGTAATATAGTTGATATCTAATTTTAACATTAAAATGACTCAATTCCTTAAGAAACAGATATTTTCAGCATGGTGAAAAGGTTTCAAAAAGAATTAAAACAAAACAACAATTGAAATCCAGTTTGGCATAAATAAAAATTATTATATTAATATGAGCAACTGGATATGTTCTTGTTTATTATATAGCTGTTATCTTATCTGCAAGCATCTTGTTGCAAAACAAAAATGACATCCATTTTTGGTTTATTTTTACAGAAACAATTTACCAATATAATTATTCTTTGCTTGTTTTTGAAAAAAAGATATTAATAATTAATTCAAAAAACAATTTTTAATTTGAATATAAATAATTATAATAGAGAAATTTATTAATGAAAAAGCTCTAATTCTAAATATTAGTAATAATAAAAATATAACTTGGTGAAAAAAAATGGAAAAAACTAGTTAATTACAAAAAACTAATATATATTATATTAATATTATATGAATAAGAAATAAATAATAATAAATTTGTGAATATTTTTGATAAATTAATCAAGTTATTAATAAAAATAATTAAAAAAAGTATTATAAATTTATAATTAACAAAAAATCCAAAAATTAAATAGACTTGCATTTTAATTATAATTAAAATTCTTTATAATAATATTACAATCAAATCTCTTTATAGTTATTACTCTTAAAAAAGCAAAATTTGATAACTATAGAGAGAATATGACTATAAAAAGATTTTTTTACTATATTTATATGTAAATAAAATGACTATAAAAAGATGTAACTATAAATAGATATTGATATTTTAATTTTTATATTGAAGTTTATAATATAATTATTATATATTAATTTAAAAATATTAATTTAATATAATTATATAATAAACTTTTATATATTATTTAATTATAATTTTATTAAATAATTTAGCAGATAAATTTTTTGCTAAAATTTTATAAATTTATATTTAATATATTTTTATCAAAAATTAAAACATTTTAAAAAAATGTTTTTTAATATTAGCTTTAATTATAATAATTATTTTTATTTTTTTAATAATTATAAAAAAATATATCTATAAATTAAAAATAAATAATTTTAAATTTTAAAAATATTTTATAATAAAATTACAAAATTAATTACAAAATAAATTAAATATTTTGAGCAATTTATAAATAAAAATTACAAAATTTAAATTATATTGATTAGCTTAAGAAGTAAAGAAATAAATATATAAAAATAATTTTAGTAGCAAATTTATTTGTTGAATGATTTAAAAATAATATAAATTTAATAATTTAAGAAATAAATTTATTAAATAATTATATTATATAATTTTAGAAAATTATATATATTTGCTTAGAAATTTAAAACTTTTCATCTTGAATATATTAATATAGTATAACAAACTAATTTTAATTAAAATATTATTATTTTGAAAATATTTATATCTAATTTTCTAAAACTAATTCAATTTAGTAAATAATATTAGAAAAATTTTGAAATATATATAAGTTATTATAGAAATAAATTAAAAAATATGAAAATAGTAATTAATTATTTATAATAAAGTCTCTTATTATTTATTTCAAAAAATTAAACAAAATTTTTTATGACTTATATTAATTTTTGAAGCTTTGTATAAAAAAATAAATATGTTAAAATATTTATAGAATTGAATTGATATAAAAAATAATATTTTTTATACAGTATTTATTTTATTTTATTTTATTTAGTTTGATTTTATTAATACTTTTTTAGAACTAATAATATTAAATAATTTATTATCAATTAAGAATATAAAGTTGAAAATTAACTTGAATTTTTTAAAATATTACAAATTATAAAGCTTTATTTATAATATTTATTAATATACTTTATATATAAATTATTGTAATTATATATAATTAAAACTGAAAATTCATTAGTTAATAATTATTTATATTGGATAAGTAAGCACAATAACTATATTTATAAGTTAAAATTTGAATAAATAAAGATTTCTTAATTTTATTTATTTGTATTTGCAATAAAAACTTTGAAAAATTCAATATTTTCAATATTATTAGTAATTATTAATATTACTATTATTAATTTATTTAGTTTATTTTGAATATTATTGCTAATTATTAAATAAATTTTTGTTAAAAACAAAAAATAATTAAATTATATTTATAAAAAAATAAATATTAGTAAAATTAAAAGCTTATTAAAAAAATAATTTATATTTAAAACATTATAACTAATATTTTTAATAATTATTATTTATTTTTAAATAGTTATTAAATTTGTATAAAAATTAAAAATAATTAATTATTATTATAAAATATTATTTAATAAATATTTGTTTTAATTTGGTTTAAATACTAATATTATATATATTATCTTATTAAAATAACTTATAAAAAATAATTATTAAATTTATGTTATGAATTTAGAAAATATATAAAATTATATTCAATCTTTTTATAATTAGATTATTATAATTAATATCAAGATTTTAATACTATTCTTAGCAAAATTTTAAAAGTTTAATTCTATTTATATTTTTATAGTAATATTAAAAAATAATAATATACATAAAATTATATATATAATAAATATATATATAATAATTTATTATATAATAAATTTTGTAATAATATTGAAAATAATAGATAAATTATATAATATATTTAATAATTGATTAAAATTTATATAATAATATTATTATTATTAAAACAAAATAAACAAATATTTTTTGGTTTAATAAAATTCTGGCTGAGATTCTTTTTAATAAAAAAAATATTAAATACTTATTAATAATATTATTAATATGAAATTAAATTAAAAATTAATCATAATCTGAAAAAATAATAATTAATTTCTAATAATTAATAATTTATATAACTAAATTTATACTGAATTTTTTGAATGTGAGTATTGTACATTTTTTTTATTAATAAATATTTAGTTTTTTTATTTTATTAATATTATTATAAATTTTAACTGGTTTTCAATTTGATCTTATATAAAAATACTTGCTAAAATTCAGAAGTTTTGACAATTTATCAAGCTGAAATTATTAAATATTATTTGACAAATAAAATTTAATTGCTAAAATATTGAAATTCAAAGCCATATCAAAATTCAAAATCATATCAAAATTCAAAGTCATATCAAAATTCAAGATTATATTAAAATTCAAAATTATACTAAAATACAAAATTATATTAAATATAAAAATAAAAAAATATATATTATTATATAGTAAATTTAAAAACTTTATTATAAATTAAAATTAATATTTAATAATTATTAAATTTAAATAAAAAATTTTACAAAAATATAAATAATATAAATTAAATTTATTTTTATTAATTAAATTTTAATTGCAAAAATTCACCAATTTTTTTCTTTTCTAATTTCTTTTCTTTATCTTCATTTTTATTTTTATCTTTATTCTTATTCTCATATTTTTTTATTAAAATTTTTAAAGTAATTATAGTATAAGAGTTATTATCAGTCTGATTTTGTTAATATTTAACATGAACTGGATTTTCAGTCCCTTCTCTTTATTTTGTAATAGTTATAACTGTTTTTGTCACAAATTTTGAAATTAATCAGCTTGATATTTATAAGAAGAAAAAGTTATAATATCATATTTATCTTTTTTGATCAATATTATAATTAGACTCTCAGTGAATATTATTATAATATGGATATTCAACCAATATTTAATGATGATAATTTTATAGTTACTCAATCTCATTATAATTGGTACTTCAAGATTGCCATGCAGTGCATTTTCTTCTATCAATTGAATAAGCTCTTACTATTACTAATAGATATTATATTTACTTAATGTGAAATAGTTCTATAGCAATACAGTATTGATATTCTATAGCAACTTGATGATTATTCAATAATGCATAATAAATATAAGTATTAATATAAGATTATTATTATTTATTATTTAAAATCAATTAATATACAAATTTTATTAACAATAAACACAATTTATTGACTAGCTAGATTTTTATAATAATTAATTAATATCTTTTCAAGATCTCAATATTATTTTATTTATAATAAATATCTTTCACTAATAAATGTTACATTAATAATAAATTATATAAAAATTATAAAAATAATAAAATATAAAATTCACCTAATTGATTTATATATAAAAATTATAAAGAATACAGAATTTATAATATTTTTAAAATTTATAAAGATTATAGAAATTATAAAAATTTCTAATCATAATATTGTTACCGTTTTAATATGACTTTGGGTTCTGTCACGAGAGTACACG